AAAAAAAAAAAAAAAAAAAAAAAAAAAAAAAAAAAGACAGCTGTCAAAATGGTGCTTTAACCAGACTGAAGATGACATAGTTCTGTAGATGAGAAGAGATGGAAGCAGGGATCTCTCTCTCTAGCTGTATATCAAAAGGCTTCAGATCTCTCACAGGGTGAATGAAAAATTAGTAACCGAGTGGTGAAAACAAGAGGCTTCTGTTTAACTCTGTAAAACAGCAAAGATTGGCAACAGCATTTTCCTGTCTGCCAAGCAACAATCACTTAGTGACTGGAATGTGGATCCCTCCAGGTCACTAGTTCTGGTGGTTAAATGTGGTTTAAGAAAGGCCTCTCAGAGGTCCTTCCAGATTTTTTGCAGATTTAGGCAGATATGTTTTTAGAGGTTTATTACAGAAAAAGAAAAACAGAAAACTAAGTGTTCACTGTTACGTAATTAAAAAAAACAAAACCCAAACCCAACAAAACAAAAAAGAGAAGAAAGATCACTGATATTCTGATGCATCAGAGGATTATTACAAGCCTAAACGCCAAGCTTCTAATGTCCTCTGCCACCAGCCCTGCACCAAGACTGGTTCTTTGTAGAGCTCGAAGCATTGCATCAGTGAAGTACTGGCTTTCCATATCTGAAAATATAATTACAATATTACACAAGAGGCCAGTTTTTATGTTTAGACTTAAGATTACATTCTGATTAAGGTGAAAGGTCAATTTAAGCACTGAATGTCTGATTGTTCATTTTGCTTAATTGCTAATTCGGTTTGTCAACTGAATATATTTTCAGACAGTGCCAAGGTATAGTTCTTGGTGTGGCGTGCACTAGACGAAATGGATGAGATCGTGCCTGGTTTGGCCTGTCTCCTTACAAGGTCCCTTACCAGTAACACAGCAAGTTTGTTGCTGTTATTTTTCCATGTTTACATATAAAGTCTGTAACACACATTCTCAGTTTGCCGTGTAAAAACATTCTGATGGATTAGAATATGTCCTTCATTTTATATCTTTCACTCTGAACTTCAAATAATTGAAGGAAATAACAATTACGTTACAGAGCTGTAAAGTTACCATACACAGGCTGGAGGAGAGACACAGTCAAGAGCTATGCAGTATGGATGTGGCCAGTCTGTACTACTTAGTCTCACATTAAGGTAATGGTCCCTTGTTTGTTCTATTTTTTTATTCCTTTACATAATCTTCCTTTTGTTAGCATTTATGGTATCAGTAATTTGTGTTCTTAACAGTGCTGTTGCAAGGTTTGACATTCTTCCATTATGATATAGCTTGGAGCAGGAGATTTAAAATCTTCTGGAAAAAAAGCACCCTTTTTTTTTTTTTTTTTTTTCTCATTTGTCCCTAAGCTGAAATGAAAAATAGCATGTAGAGAATAGCAGAAAGAAATATATTGGTTACAAAAATACTAAGACTACTATTTCAGTCTAATTTTTTTTTTTTTTACCTGACTACCAAAATTGTTCCTCTTTTGTAGACTTGGAAATAAGCAATACCATATTTACTACATATATTGGATTTGAAACCACACTAAACAAAGTTAGGAAAACCTACCTAAAATTTGTGACACACACCCCCCCTCCCCCCTTCTCTCATTCTACTCATGGTTGTTTCTCTCCTGTCCCACAACAAAAATAAGTTTTGCCAACAAAGTCAGGGAAAACAGAAGAATTCAAGGAAAAAAAAATCAAACCCTCTCTTCTGAACATATCAGACGCAGGCAGAGTGGACAGTTTCTGCATAACTGTGATAATTTTGTCATGCTAACTGAGAATGAATGCTTTAATGTGATATCAGAAGTACCTTGTGTAAGGTCTTAACTAAAACACTGTGCATATTTCAGTGGAGTTGACTCTAGGAAAAATACATGGAAATGTATCAAAGATGACCAAGTAAATGGAAAAAAAAGGGCACAGAGACTGACATATTCAGCCAAGCAAAGCAAAAACTGTGGTTATACAGTTCTTGTCTATAACGGTGAAGAGCAGGCAAGAAGAAATAGTTAGTCAAGCTGTTAGCTAACTCTGCTGAAAGAATAAATAGGTAAAGGTTAACCACCATGGTTTTAGGCTGGAAATTAAAATAAGATTCCAAACCTTTAATGAAAAGTGTTTATGTGACAACATTCTTACGGGAAAATAGAGGTGGGAAAAAAATAATCAGAACTTAATAGTGATTTTGAAACAATTCTATGGTACTTTTTTATAATAGCAAAGAACCAAATGCCGTGATCCCAGGGACCACTCTAGGTCTGCATTTCTGCCTTCATTTTCAAACCATTAAATGCCAGAGGAAAATGTACTTTCAGTGCCAGAAGAGAAATGGGAGAAGAGAGTTTCACAACAGAGCTGTCAGTTAAGTTTTATACTGCGGGACTCTTATCTCCTGATCAAGGTAAGAAAATAATTCTTTTATCGTTTCTCAATGTTCCTGGTTTCTTTTGTGTATAAATTAACTATTTAATGCTTCAGTGAATTGGTTTGAGAATTGATAGGATCAATGCTCAGAAATATAGACGTATCCTACAATATCAGTTTAGCTCAGTTTAACTCTTGATATCTATGCTTCAGATTCAAGTTTGGAATGAATAATCTTTGGAACAAAACCTGAATCTGAATTTTAACCTGCTCTGATACTGTAATCTTTCCTTTCTTCCCCTCTTATCCCCTCTCCTTCTGATAAACAGATTTAGCTCATGCTCATCTAAAATAAAATCTAATTTTGAGGCTATAAGCTTTATGGCAAAGTGAATTTAAGAGGTTCTCTATGGGTGTATTGCATGCTACATCTACATTACTGAAAGGTTCAGATCACACCAATAAATTTAGTTTTGAAATAGTGGTGTATTCCGGAAAGCTCCACAAGGTGGGGATGAAGTGATGTTTCATATCAAGAAGTTTGGTTCATACAGAACTTATAGTTTGTACTCCTTTACAAAGTTTATGGAAGCAAAATTTGATCTTACAAGTCAGAGATTCAAATAAAATATTAATGAAAATGGCTTCTCACAAAGTGATGTATGATACAATTTAGGCTTGTTTTAATAATTTGAACAGTATAATCCTAAGGGTTATTAAGCTGTGGTTCTGAGTGAGTTCAATTTCATATTTTTCTGTTTGGTTTAAAATTGATCTTATGCTTTATTTGCCTAATGTTTTATTATTCTGGATTTAAACGTCAATATTCTAGTCTATAATTATGGAAAAATATGCTGAGTTATAAAAGTAAAAGTTCATCTTGTAATGCTGAATCCAAACAATAACGGTTGTTGCAGCATAATATGAGAAAAATAAATGCAACACGTAAATCAGATCTAAGGAAATAATGAACTAAGTATAATAAGAATAAAAGATTTTGCATTGTCATGGTATTAATGAGTAATGTTTTGCCCAGTTTGGCTGGTATTATTTCAGAAGAGACACAAATGGTTTCAGAGCACACCTGCTTGCTTGTTTGAAAGAGATTTTAAAAGTTTTTTGTTATTAAGGAGGAAGTTAAGCACTGGCTTGGCCAATTATCTATTATGTCTCTATCATGCCATTTCTATTGGTTTTATTCTTTGACCTGGTTGCTAAGGACACACTCAAGTTCCAGCCCTAAGCAGCACCATATGTTTAATTCAGGCCATATAGATATACATACTACATTTGTTTTTATATTATTTTCCCCATAACACTGCAAGTGTTCATTGCATACCTTTCATTGGTTTTAAGCCCACAAACATTCTTATCAGTAGTCTATTCTCAAGCTGTCTACAAACTGCATGTTCAAGATTGAATCCATAATTTGTCTCTAGTAACTAGTATTCATATTTTTCAGGCATGTGTGTCATTGACTTTATCTTACATGTTTGATTTTAAAAGTATTGCTACTAATCTTCCAAATCATCGTCTATACTGGACAATTCTATTACTAAAAAGTTGCATTAGTATACAATTTCTGCAGTTACTCATAATGGAAGTTCATTGTAGATAGCAGGATACTTTTATTATCAGTAAAACAGAAATCATAGAACCAGAGATTCATAGAATGGTTTGGGCTGGAAGGGACCTTAAAGATCATCTAGTTCCAAGCCCCCTGCCATAGACAGGGACACCTTCCACTAGCCCAGGTTGCTCAAAGCCCCGTCCAACCTGGCCTTGAACACTGCCAGGGAGGGGGCAACCTCAGCTTCTCTGGGCAACCTGTGCCAGGGTCTCACCACCCTCACTGTAAAGAATTTCTTCCTCATATCTAATCTAAATCTACCCTCTTTCTGTTTAAAACCATTACCCCTCATCCTATCTCTACACTCCCTGATCAAGAGTCTTTCCTCATCTCTCCTGTAGCCCCCTTTAAGTACTGGAAGGCCGCTATAAGGTCTCCCCGGAGCCTTCTCTCCTCCAGGCTGAACAACCCCAACTCTCTCAGCCTGTCCTCAGGAGAGGTGTTCCATGCGTCTGACAATTCTGTGGCCCTCCTCTGGACCTGCTCTAGCAGGTCCATGTCCTTCTTATATTGGGGGCCCCAGAGCTGGAAAAAGTACTACAGGTGGGTTCTTATGTGAGTGAAGGGTCAGAATCGCCTCCCTCAACCTGCAGCCCAGGACATGATTGGCCTTCTGGGCTGTGAGCACACACTGCTGGCTCATAGTCAGCTTTTCATCTACTGATGCCCCCAAGTCCGTCCCCACAGGGCTGCTCTCAATCCACACATTGCCCAGCCTATATTTGTGCATGGTATTGCCCCAACATTAAATACATTAATTGAAGCTATTTAATTGCACACATTACTCAATAACACTTCTATTAGCTGTTAGCAGTTCCATTAACACTACTGGGTCATTAACTTTGATACAAGAGACAAGTGCAATTTTGTTGTAATCAAGAAAGCCATAAAAGCATGGTTTGTGAACCACAGAACAATTTACAATACCAATAAAGTCTAATGAATTCTATTATTCACTCTTTCCTTTAAAGGTTGAGTTTACATTATGATATCAAACATCTGGGTAGTGAAGCAAATAAAAGAGGGGGCATTTAGTCCTAATATGGCATTTACTGTTTGCACTCAAGATATTAGAATAAAGAATAAGCAGATTTTCATAGGTGATGTAGATGTGATTCTGTGATGACAATATTTGAGTCTCATAGGAAACCTATTCTTCATCATGATTGTGAGTCAGCAAGATTGAACTCAGCTAGATTTTACTTTGACCATTGTTACAGCACAAGATCCCACTGCTGGATTTTAAGGTTTATATGAGGCAAAGCCCCAAAAATAAATTGTGGATTTATCCAACGTGGGCAGACAACTTTGTTTTCTCTATATATGCATTGGCATTAGTCTTGGCACAGGTTCCTTTATCACAAGAAAGGTTGGTGAGGCTATGAAATTCCACTGTTCCCATCAGATTTACATCCACCCATGTCTTATCACAGTTCTTTTGGAACTCTGTGTGCTGAATAAGATTTTGGCAAAAGGTTAGAGTAACACAAAGTGGTGGGACCTGACTAGGACCTGCATTACAATGATTAAATACAGGACTGCTGTCCAAGGACTTGTCAGCTTTAAGGCTGGAGAGAGCCTTTGAATTCTAGAATACAGGGAGGCCTCCTGTCGAGGGTGCAATAATTCTGGAAATCTTAGAAATGTGTGTGTTTTGAAAGAAACTTGCTCAAGGGTTGGGAAGAAACTGAGGTGGCATAAACTGTGCTCTGCTTGTAATCTTGAGATTATATATTTTTTATTTAACAAATAAAAAACAAAACCAAAAATCCACCCACACCAGACAAATGTCAGAAATGGGCTCTGCCTTCTCAGATATGTACTGTAGCGGTATATAGCATCATGCCTAGGCCTACAATACTCATATTCTCAACTACACTCTTGACTAGATTCAACAGTATGTGTTACACTGTAGAAAGCTATAAATGACCTTGTGTCTAGGACAATCCCATGCTTCCTTTTTTCCTTTATTAGTTATCTTTTTATGTGTGGGAAGTGAACTTGAGCCTTTGACTCGCTCATTAGTGAGGAAAAGGCTGTATGAGGTGTAACCAAATGCAGTTTACCTTGGGGTTTGTATACATTCTACTAGTCCCCCTCTTTCACAGTAACAGTAATCCAGTTCTACACTCTTTCCTGCCTCTCAGTCCTGTTTTTCATTACTGCAGTGGGAGGCCAGACCATGCCTTCATCCAAATCTTGCTTCTGACTTTTACCACCTCACCAATACGGTACTCCCTTGGTCCTATTCCAGCATCCTGTTGGGGAATGCAAGCCCAGGACTGCCTGGATATTTTGACTGGACCTTGTGAGTAGCTTGAATGGAAAAGCCAAGAGCTTCTAATGAGTTGATGTGATGCCAGTCAACTGACAGTGACAATCCATTATCCAGCAAACCAAAACAACATATGTGCAATTACTGTTAAATAAGACCTCCCTGTGCTTGTCCCTGTTCCTGTATGTCAAGAGGCTGGCTGCATGTGGGTGTTTTGAAAGCCCTCTGTAACACCGTTCTGCAATAGGTGGCCTTTTTCTGTCTAAGCAGGCAATTCCAAATTAAATCCTTTTTGTCTGTCAGTGCATACTGGATCAGTGTCCTTGGGGATCCAAGGTGCAGCACTGTTCATCTCCTGAATTTCAAAGTGCCTGAGACAACTGGATTTGTACCTCTGCCAGGAGAGTGGCACCTTATGGTATGTGCCTTAGTGAATATTGCCAGCAGATGTCTAAGGCATCTCCCAGTGCAGAATTAGGCAAATTTTGCTCTATCTTCATTCTGGTTTGCGTGCCAGTTTAAGTAAGTGAACAAACAATACTGTAGTTGTAACTTGGTGAAAAATATGTATGACTTCTCATTTATTGCAGTGTGAGCTATAAAATTTCAGCAGAAATAAAGTAAATAGAAAAATTTAAGTTAAATGCAAGCGGAGAGAGATTTTTAGGATCTTCAGCCTTGGAGATATTCTGACCAACCTGCTTTAACTTGACTTTCTTTGAGCAGGAGCTTGGACTGGAAGACCTCCAGAGGTCCCTTCCAACATATTTGATTCTGATTATATGATTTGGAGCTATTTGCCAGCATTGTTGCATATGCTACTGATCAGCTCGAGTAAGCAGCTAATAGAAATGAGATTATTCATAACAAATATGGGCAGTTATTTTTTTGCCAAAGGTTTTCACACCAGTACTTTACAATTTAAAACATACCAGTAGGCAATGTAATACTGTTGGCAGTAACAAGTAATTCTTAACATTAGCAATTTCTATTCCATCCACAGCACGTTGGTAATTGAAAAACTGCAACTTCCTACCAAGAATGAGGTTCAGTTCCATGTTAGAGCTAGAGCTGGAATCTCACTTAAAATCATTTTGCAGGAAAGCTCAACTATTGAGAGTTCACCATTCTT